TACAATACAATACAATACAATACAATACAATACAATACAATACAATAATATAAATAGGGAGATGGTATTTTCTTCCCAGATCTGATCTGGAAGCAATGTGGGTGGGCGCTTCAAGGTTTGTCTCATATTTCATTCCATTAATAGGATGAAGCTGGTAATGGTTTCGGGCTGCAAACACAAACAAGAACCTCATGAACTTTTAAGGTGCAGCACCTGCTAAACTTCTGAAGAATCTTAAATAGACTCAAAACTTCATTCTTACAGCTTCACCCATTTGCAGAGGCAGGCTTTCAGGAGTTAGCCTGCATTTACACACAAACAAACTGGCTAGAACAATCTTCACTGGCCCCAAAGGAGATGCCCTTTATTTATTTTATTTATTTATTGTCAATTGCTTACAAGATAATAGGTATAAGTAAAAGCATAGTTATGAATACACGGATACATATAAGAAAAATAAAAAAAAACAAAAGAAACAATAGGACAGGGATGGTAGGCACGTTGGTGCGCTGATGCACACACCCTACAGACCTCTTAGGAAAGGGGTGAGGTCAATAGTAGACAGTCTAAGGTTAAAGTTTTGGGGATTTGGGGAAGAAACCAGAGTCAGGTAGAGTATTCCAGACATTGACCACTCTGTTGCTGAAGTCGTATTTCCTGCAATCAAGTTTGGTGCAGTTAACCTTGAGTTTGTATCTATTGTTTGCTCTTGCGTTGTTATGGTTGAAGCTGAAGTATTCATTGACAGGTAGGACGTTTCAATGTATGATTTTATATATTATACTTAGATCGGACTGAAGGAGGAGCAGTTCTAAGTTTTCTAGGTCTAGAATTTCGAGTCTAGTGGCATAAGGTATTCTGCCCTTTCTCGCTGCCTGTTTGCACATCACTCCCCACAAAGGCAGGTTCCTTTGGTTTAGTTGCTGCTTATTGGAAATGAAGCTTCGGGCTCAGCTTTAGGGGGAGATGAGTGCCCTCTTCGGGGGACCTGAAAGAAAAGATGTGGGGTAAGATGCCCATGGACAAAAGCTATCGCTTGGGGGTGGGGTCGAATAAGACTTGATGGCACGGAATCAATGAAAATATCTTGCATAGTATGATAGACTTGTGGGGCTAGTGCGTTGTGCAAAGAGGTCTCATAGTGTAATACGATCGGGAGTGGGTTAGGGACTCCTGTCCTCATGTGAGTTGTGTTGGGGGAGGGATGCATGAGGGAGGCTCAGCCAATCTCATTATACACATGTACTCTGACAATAAAAGTAACAAACGACTTAAGAGTAGAAACAGAACGAACGGACCTTATGTCGCTATATGGCGCTCTGCAAAGAGGGAACCCTCGCTCCGAAAGAAAGCAGTGAATTTTATTTTATTTTATTTAGTTTGTCAATTGCTTACAAGATAAATAAGTAAAAACATAGTTATAAATACATGGATACATATAAGAAAAATAAAAACAGGGATGGTAGGCACGTTGATGCACGTTGATGCGCTTTGCTTTGTTGATGTGCGGGTGGGGGCTTGAGTTGGAAGGAGTTGAAACGATAAAGTAGTGGGCTGCTAGAGAGGATGTAGAGGAGAAGGACAGAGGAACTTCCTCTTCCGGCTCAGCCATGGGAGGCTGGTGGCGTCGGCGGAGCCTCTTGTGCTGCTTGAAGGGGTCGAAGCGGCTCCTGGGAGGTGAGTGGAGGGCAGGTCGGAGGAGAAGCCGGGAGCAAGTCCGGCCCTTTGGGTTCCTCCACGGCGGGGAAGCAGGAGAGGAAGCAACGAGGGTGAAACATGTGGGGCTGGTGCTGTATATTCTTCCCCTCCCCGAATTTTATTCCTCTGGGGCTGCACGACTTAAAACTACCTCCTGTGATTTTCCCCAAATGGGAGATTTGGGGAATTTCATTGAAGAAATCTTTATATATCTTTCATGTTTCTTAATCACCTTCACGTAACCCTTGATTCCTTTTATGACCCGTTGATTCATTTTATTGACATGTTGCTTTCCTGGCAAGTGAGGAGTTTCATGGGCAAAAACGGATGGTTTAAATCTGCAGAGGCTTTGGGCACCATTTCACCTGTTAAGGAACCCACCTTTTCAAAATGAGATCAAAAAGTCTGAGCAAATCTACTACTGCACAGGGAAATACACATAGATTTATTGCACAGGGAAATATACATAGATTTTCTTTATCCATAAATTCATAGATGTGTATTTCTTTGTGCATATATGTGGATGGTACAATCTTCAGTGTTTTCAGGTAAATTTTATATCAATTTGCAATGCTAATAATGTTATGATTTACCTAAACCAAAAAGAGAATTTCATGATTGGATATATGAATTGATATTTGTACTTGGATCCTGCTAGTTCTCTATATATGCCAAATAAATTGTCTTTAATGTTAGAGGTTAAACCAGCATTTTTATATGTTTTGCTTTTTCATGGTAATATATAAAGGTTTCTTTTCTTTTTTGCTGTTTTCACAGGTTGTGCATCCATTTTTTAAACCCACAATGAAACTAATTCATTAATATGAATCTTGTAGACAAAAAGATGCCAAGAAGAGCACCCTGGACTCCAGAGGGGCTTGAATCAAAGCCCCACTAGTTAGAAATTAGAAATATTTTTTAACCTCCTGAAGAATCCAAGATCATCAGTGTTGGAAAAAAAACCCAGTCTGTCTATTGTGGGGAAAAACAGATTGCCGATCACAGCTCATTATGCATGAGGGGATCCACACCGCAAAAAATACGCAAAAATGCTTAGAATGTGGCAAACGCTTTACTCAGAACAACTTCCTGATGGCAGCACCCACACTGAAGAGAAATTCTACCAGTGCTCCCACTGTGACAAAAGGTTTAGCACACGCACAAACCTGGTCAGACATAAGAAAACTCACACTGGGGAGAAACCTTTTGATTGTCCTGATTGTGGGAAAAGTTTCACTCAGAATTCTGACCTGGTGATACACCAGAGGACACACACAGGAGAGAAACCGTATGTGTGTCTAGAGTGTGGGAAACGTTTCAGTAAAAATTTCAATCTGATGATACACCAGAGGATTCATACAGGAGATAAACCATATGAGTGTCTGTTTTGTGGGAAAAAGTTCAGTCAGAATGCCAACCTGGTAATACACCAGAGGACTCATACAGGAGAGAAACCATATGAGTGTCTGTATTGTGGGAAAAGTTTCAGTCAGAATGCCAATCTTATGATGCACCAAAGGACTCACACAGGAGAGAAACCATATGAGTGTCCAGATTGTGGGAAAAGTTTCCAGCAGAATTCCAAGCTGGTGATACACCAAAGGACACATACTGGTGAGAAACCATATGAATGTCTGGATTGTGGGAAAAGTTTCAAGGAAAATTCCACCCTACTTTTACACCAGAGAACTCACTCGAGAGAAAAACCATATGAGTGTCCAGATTGTGGAAAAGCTTTTAGTAGAAATTCTAACCTGCTCTTACATCAAAAGGCTCATACAGGAGATAAACCATATGAGTGTCCAGATTGTGGGAAAGGTTTCAATTGGAATTCAGATCTCGTGATACACCAGAGGATTCACACGGGAGAAAAACCGTATGAGTGCCTGGATTGTGGGAAAAGTTTCAGTCGGAATTCCCACCTGGTGGAACACCAGAGAACTCACACAGGCGAAAAACCATATCAATGTCCTGATTGTGGGAAAAGTTTCTATCGTAATTCTAACCTTGTGGTACACCAGAGAACTCACACTGGGAACAAACCATATCAGTGTCTGGATTGTGGTAAGACTTTCCATTGGAATTCCGCTCTAGTGATACACCAGAGAACTCACACAGGAGAAAAACCGTATGAGTGTCTGGAGTGTGGGAAAAGTTTCATTCGGAATTCCGATTTGGTGATGCACTGGAGGACTCACACTGGAGAGAAACCGTATGAGTGTCCAGATTGTGGGAAAGATTTTAGTGCTCAGTCTAGCCTCATAAACCATGTAAGGATACACACAGGGGAGAAACCATTTAAATGCCCAGATTGTGGACAGTGTTTCTCACAAAATTCCTCCTTTATCACCCATAAGAAATTCCACATAAGACAAAATTTGACGTATGTAGAGGATTCTTGAATTTCATTTCTCATCTCTCATTGCAAGCTCAGCTGAGGAATTGACTGTTTTAATGTCTTGCCACATTCTTTTTAATCAAACATGTCTTACTTAATATTGAACATGAGGGAGGGGATCTGCGTTGGGAGCTCCAAGCTCTTTCTGAGATTCCTTGCCTCTTGTGCAAGTGGAGTTGCACGCATATGTCCACGCTTGCCTCCCACTTCTGCAGCCCGGTGGTCGAGGACCCTTGTCCTGGGATCAAAATTTCAACTCCTATTGTCAAAGATTAACTGTATTATGTACACCAAAGATTCAAGTTTAACCACAATAGAGGAATGGTTGGTGAAAATGATGGAATTATCAGAGACAACTATACCGATTTCCTCAATTGGAGAGAAGACATTCTCTACATTAATTACTGATTGGAAGTTAGAGATTAGAGATTTGTGTGAAACACAACAAAAAATGAAGTTATCATTTACAGTTGTGATTATAAAAAAAAAACAGGTAATAGAAAAGAGAGTTTTTGTAACCATAGAGTAAGAAGTAATTTTGTATTTCTAATTATAATTATTGTAAAGGAGATTGGAAGTAACTTCTCTCTATTTCTGTCTTTTTTTTTACACTTTTCTATTTTCTTGTATTTGATGTTTTCATTCATTTTTGTTTTTAATCTGTTTAAAATTATGAATATAAATTATATTGAAAAATCCGGTATAAGAGTCAAGGACTGGATGGAAACCACAAGTTCCAGTCTTAGGTTAAACGGGGAAGGTGGCTTGCCAGGTGCTATGACATTCCAGATGTCAATTGGAGAACCTGAAAATATGCCTATACAGATTGGTTGGCTAGCAGGGGGAGTTTAAAATGAGAAATCAGCATCTTTCTTGGCTCAGGATGCCAACCAGGAACTGCTTTATATGCCAAAAGAAAATCAAATTTATTCATTTTAATTTATTAAATGTATATGCCTCCTATCTGATTATTACAATGTCATAAATAGTAGTATAAAATTATAAGGTTAAAAATATCAAAACACTATGCACGTATATTGGGGTTATTTTATTCCAGATTCCTCCATACAGCAGAGCTCGGAGCCAATAGTTGAAATGGATACCTATCACCATCCATATGTTATTAGATCTGCATTGAAAAAAGCAGTTTAGGATGTCCCTCTAAAAAGGTCAGCCTGGTGATTAGCGGTCCATGTGCTTTGGTGAGATATTCTATGTTTGCCTTTTGATTTCACTTGATGTACATTTCCGCTCGACGTTCCTTCCTGGATATGCAAGTTGCTATGCAGAGTCTTTCCTCCCTGCCTTAGTTCTTTCCCTCAATATTTATCAGTTTCCTATTTCTGGATATTGCTTGCTCTCGTGTCTGATTCTTTTCAATATGGATGGTGTCATTTCATTAACTTAAACATCAAGACTGCAATCGTGACTTTTCTGTTAGGCGATAGAGATACAGAAGCCCTACTCAGCACCACGAGTCGCTTGATCTCATCCTGTTGTTGAACATCTCCCCATATTTGTATGGTTAAAACACATCAATTCAGAATATACTTTGCATTCTATGTCCCAAAGGTGCTTTTTCAGGAGGCAGCTAGACTTTCTTGTTTGTTTTTTGAAGACGTCTCGCTTCTCATCCAAGAAGCTTCTTCGGTTCTGACAGGATAGAGGGGAATGGAAGGATTTATATTCCTTGCAGGCAGGTGGTCACTTTCATCCTTTTTATATATAGTATAAATAAAATTCCTTCCTTTCATACTATCCTGTCAGAGCTGAAGAAGTTTCTTGGATGAGAAGTGAAATAAGAAAGTCCAGTTGCCTCCTGAAAAAAGCACCTTTGGGACAACCATGACCTGGGTGACTGAGAATCTCTACAGACTCTGCATTCTATCTGTTTCCCTTTGTGATTAAAAGAAAAGCCTTTTTCCCTGTAAGTCAAGAGGAAAGAGTAAAATTACAATTGGGGAAAGTAAAATCTGCTGATACAAGTATGGGTAAAGAGGCACAATAGGGATTTAACATATTATTATTGTTAACGGATACGGCATTTGTTATCTGACCTTGACGCCCCCTTCCATTCCCACCCCCAGTGTAAAGCCTACTTTATTTTTATTTCTGTGTATCTTTCCTTTATTATTTCTCCTTTAGTTTAGCCCCTCTATAGTCAACCTCAAAAATTTGCATTTTAAAATTATTTATAAATGAAATTTCCATATTCCCCCCCGCCCCCCAAAAAAGCAACGGTGGGTGATGTACAACTATCAGATTAAAAACCATAACCATATAAACAATATATGTAAAAATGTAAAAATCTATACTAGGCAATAAGTAATATAAAAACAATTATAAATAAAACAACCCCCCAGGCAATAAAATGCATGCAAATGGCCACCTCAGCAATTGAATCATTTGAGCATATCTCAGATTACCTCAGAGCCCCAGGCCTGAGGATGTAGCCAGGTCTTGAGAGCCTCCCAAAAGATCAAAAGGGGTGGAACTAATCTCATTTCAGGGGAAAGAATATTCCATAATGTGGGAGCCACAACAGAGGAGGCATGGGTCCTCAGACCCAAAGGCAGATCCCCAGCTGATGGTGCTTGCCGCATGTCTTCTTTGCCAGGTCTCATCGGTTAGGTAGAAATAAGCAGGGAAAGGCTCAGTCCCATGCCAAGAAGGGCTTTCAAAGGCAAAACCAGCAAAACCTTGAACTGGACCGGCAAGCAAATTGGCAACCAAGGCAGCTCAGGGAGCAGAGGTGTGACATGTGCTGCTCCAGAAACACACATAAGCAATCCAGCCATTGCATTGTCTACCATCTAATACTTTCTGATACCCTTCAATGGCAGCTCATGTGGAGCTTATTGAAGTCATGCAAGATGCAGGTAACTGGGGCATGATTGATCCTATCAGAGTCTGCAGATCCAGCAACAGCCACAACTGTCTCTCAAGTGAATCAGTAATGAAAATTTTAGGATGTAGAGAGTTTTTTTTAATCTCCAGTGACAGCCAAACCCTGCTAAAATGCAGGAATCCTTAGATCAGCTTCCAGCCTGCAAACTAGTGACCTCCGAGTGTTTTGCCCAAATAGCCTGGGAATTCTCAAGGCTGAAATCTTAATACTCTGGGAATTGGGAAGGCAGTTCGAGTGAGCAGAGAACATTATAGTAATACAGAGAGGGTGATAGTATCTCCTTATTTAAATGCCATTGGAAACCACGTGGGAGACACTTCCAAGTTTTGTCCCGTATTATTCTATTAGTAAGATGAAGATGGCAGACTGTTAATCATTTAGGGGCTCAACTTCCATCAACTTTTACGAGCCACCAGGCACACAGCTAACCTTACGAAGCTAGAGGTCGGACGATCTAGCCATTGCTCGCTAGATGGAGCTCTATGGTTTAGGCAACAAGCACGCCTGGAAAGTCGCCAATACAGAAGCCAGCGCCTGTAGCCGAACTGAAAGGGAACTGAGACCACAGAGTCGTGTTTTGCTAGAGAGAACACGGAGAGGAGAAGCCCGGAGGAACGTCGTCTTCCGGCTTCCTAATGAGAGGGAGTCCTGTTGTCCTGTTTTTCCCCTGGTCGAAGCTGCAGCCGGAAGGTGATTTGAAGTCGGAGGAGAAGCCGGGAGCAAGTTTTTTGTTTGCTCTACGTTTTATCCAGCAGCAGGTAAACGTATTGCAATACATTTTGGAGAGAAACCCCTGCAGTTGGTGTGGCAAGAGTTGGTAGATTCCAACGAGAGACTGCGTAACCAAATTCAGTTCCATTCAATTCAAACGTTTATTGTCAGTGCACATGTGTACAATGAGATTGGACTGAGCCTCCCTTAGTGCAACACCCCTCCCCAAAATGCAATACAAAACTCTTATTTTGACTGATGAAGCTTCCTGGATGGGAAACGAAAGCATCTCAGATGAACAAACTTTGATCCAGTGGCCATGATGTAACCTTTTTTTAGATACTTTTCCTTGGATGGTGGCGTTTTTATTGGACATACATACTTATATACCACTTAATAATAGCACTTATATACCACTTAATAATGCTTTACATCCCTCCCTAGTGATTTACAGACTCATCCTATTGCTAGGTCCTCATTTTACTGACCTCAGAAGGATGGAAGGCTGAGTCAACCTTGAGCCAGTTAAAATTAGAATTGAACTCCTGGCAGTGGGCAGTGAGTTAGCCTGCAATACGGCATTCTAGCCACTTGCCACCACGAATGCTGAAATATGCAGTCTGCTACATATTCGTCCCACTCCCCACCCCACCCCAATTTTATTCCACTACCTGTAGTCCAGCATGCTTTAAGCTGCTGCAATTTTCTGTGGAGTGAGAGATTTAAAAAGTGTACTTCACTTTATCGTTGGCTCCTTGTGGGTTTTTTTTTATCAGCATGTTGTTTTCTTGGCAAGTGAGGAGTTTCATGGGCAAAATAGCACTTAGACTGATATTCCACTTCATAGTTTTTTACAGCCCTTTCTGAGCAGTTTACAGAGTCAGCATCTTGCACCCCAATTTTCTGGCTCCTCATTTTACTGACCTTGGATGAATGGAAGGCTGAGCTGGTCAGAAAGAACTCCTGGCATTGAGCAGGAGTAGCCTGCAATACTTGGTTCCAACCACTACTCCCCCTACATCCTAAAACCAATGCTTTAAATCAGAGGTCTCCAAACTTGGCAACTTTAAGACTTGTGAACTTCAATTCTGGGAGTTGAAATTCACAAGTCTTAAAGTTGCCAAGTTTGGGGGTCTTTGCTTTAAATCTTGCAGAGGCCTTGGGCGCCATTTCCTCTGTTAATGGCCACATATCCTTTGTACCTATTTCTGAAACTTTTTGCAGACAGAAAATACTGATTTTCTACGTACATAATACATACATAGGGGCGTTTTTCTGTCTTTCTTTGGGCATATATGGGTATCTGTATAATCCATTCTCAGTATTTCTTGGTATATATGATAATAATAATAATTTGAAATGCTCACATTTTGAAATTCACCTGAGTCAGCAAGAGTGTTTCATGACTGTGGGAATAGTTGAACTTGGATCTTGCTATGTATCATAATGAATGTTAGCGGTTAATGTGCGAATCTAATTTTGGCACATTTGTTTTTTCATTGTAATATATGCTTTTTTTTTCTTGTTTCCACATCTTGTGCAACCATTTTATAAATAGTAATTAAAATAATCCTTTCCTGTGACCTTTACAGATGCCAAGAAGAGTCTTCTGGACAGCAGAGAATCAGAAGCAGCACTAAGAAGGAAAAGCAACCCCTTTCCAGCTAGTAAACCACATCTTTTCTCTTTCCTCCAGAAAACCACAAAGCTTTTCAACTTCACTAGCAAGTGAGCAACAAGTGAGAGGAAAAAAATAGGAAAAGAGTGTTGAGCTGGAAAAAAAATAAGTCTATGTGGAACTCGAGGAAACCTTACATGAAAAGGTAAAGGGGAAAACGTTTTCAAAACCACACAAAAAGGGAAAATATCTAGAAGTCTGTGGGGATGAATCAGCAATTCCAGGCAGGAATGCAGGCCTCAACCTGCGAGGAAAGAAACAGCTTGAATCAAAGCACCATCCAAGAAGGGATCATGAATATTTTTCACCTCCTCAACAACCCAGGCATATCAGTAGTGGAAAACCTCCACAGATGTGCCTATTGTGGGGAAAGTGTAGCTTGCAAATCAGAGCTGATTATGCATCAGAGGACCCACACTGGTGAAAAACCGTACAAATGCTCTGAATGTAGCAAAGTCTTTCATTACAGATCCCAACTTCTTGAGCATAAAAGAACCCATACTGGAGAAAAGCCCTACCAATGCCCAGAGTGTGACAAAAAGTTTAGTAAGCATGCCACCCTGGTGATACACAAGAGGACACACACCGGAGAAAAACCATTTGAGTGTCCAGAGTGTGGGAAAAGTTTCAGTCAGAATTCCAACCTGGTGATACACCAGAGGACTCACACAGGAGAGAAACCGTATGTGTGTCAGGATTGTGGGAAACATTTCCGTCAGAATTCCAACCTGGTGATACACCAAAGGACTCACACAGGAGAGAAACCGTATGTGTGTCAGGATTGTGAGAAAAGTTTCATTCGAACTTCTGACCTGGTGATACACCAGAAGATTCATACAGGAGAGAAATTGTGTGTGTGCCCACATTGTGGGAAAAAATTCATTCGGAATTCTGACCTAGTAATACACCAGAAGACTCACACTGGAGAGAAACCATATAAGTGTCCAGATTGTGGGAAAAGCTTTAGTCAGCATTCTCACCTAGTGATACACCAGAGGACTCACACAGGACATAAACCATATGAGTGTCTGGATTGTGGAAAAACTTTCAGACGGAATTCTGACCTGGCGATACATGAGAGGATTCACACTGGGGAGAAACCGTATGAGTGTCCGGATTGTGGGAAAAATTTTACTCGAAATTCTGACTTGGTGATTCACCAGAGGACTCACACAGGAGAGAAACCATATGAATGTGTATATTGTGAGAAAAGTTTCAGTCAGAACTCTTACCTGGTAATACACCAGAGGATTCACACAGGAGAGAAACCATATGAATGTCCATATTGTGACAAAAGTTTCAGTCGGAATTCCAATCTGATGATACATCGGAGAACTCACACGGGAGAGAAACCATATGATTGTCCAGAGTGTGGGAAAAGCTTCAATACTAGATCAAATCTCACCAGCCACATGAAGTATCACACAGGAGAGAAACCTTATGAGTGTCCAGACTGTAGAAAAAAATTTAGTTGGAAATCTGACTTGCTAATTCATCAGAGGATTCACACAGGGGACAAACCATATGAGTGCCCGGATTGTGGGAAAGGTTTCAATACTAGATCTAGCCTTATAAATCATGTAGGTTTACATACAGGAGAGAAACCATTCAAATGTCCAGAGTGTGGACGATGCTTCACGCAAAATTCTTCCCTTGCTGCACATAAGAAAATCCACTTGGTGCAGAAGGTGATGGGTGTAAAGAAAAGCTGAATTTCATTTCTAATCTCCATTTTGAAATGCCTCTGAGAAATTAGTTAAACATGTATTAGGATTGTTGAAAGAAATATCCTTCTAGGTTCATTTCCAAGTGGGGAAGAAAGACACTGGAAACATGGTGACTGCTTGGAAAGATGGTTTAATGGTGGGCAGGATCACATGCTTTGGGTGAAGAAAGAAGGAAAAAAAGGGCTGAGATGCTGAAGGGAAAGGATTTTATAACCTCTGTTGAGATTTGAATTTGTGCTTGTATTCTGATTGATTGTCAGACTCCCATGGGGCCATGCAGGGGCAACTCTGTAGGCTGTCCTGAGTCCCAGGCTTGGTTGAGCCTTGCTGGATGATGATGTAATGAAAGGGCTTTGGGCAATTCCTATTATAACTCTACTCGGAGTAGATCTTTGTTATGTAAAATAGACTGGCCTAGGCCAGAGTAGTAGCCCATTGGCAAAGGTAGGGTGCGGGCTGAGTTTCTGCTTCTGATGTGATGTGATGCTAATTTCCTACAGACATGATGGAAGAGAGAAAAAAATGGGGAAATATTAGTTTGATAAAAGTTAATCCATGTATCTGGCTGTATGAGGATTTATTGGTATGTCAGGGAGTGACACAGCCAGTGCCCAAATGAAGTCATAGACATAGATGCTTACACAAACTTGTAGTTTTTTTGTGGGGGGAAACAATTTTATTAATTTTTAAAGACCGACAAAACAAACAAAACATAAAAACATCCAGCTTTCTTTCATAGATATACAAACAGCGTGTCGGTTGGTTTACCAGTTTTTGTGCATCACAGAGCACACAAAAGAAGAAAAGGGGAGGAAACTCCGCCTTTACACCCACAGCAACCAATCACAGCACAGATTGCCTCAAACAGGAGCCAGCACTCTAACCAATCAATTATAATTGTGTGTTCTGGCTCATTGTACAGCCCCACTGTTCCAGCTATTACATCATCTTAACAAGAGCAGAAATTAGGAAATCGCTGCAAAAAATGGCTTGAAGGGTGATTTTTGCTTTTTGATCAGAAAGGTTTATAGAACTGTAGCTTGCAAAGTTTCAGCCTTCTTCAAACCTGGATGTCCACAAAATGCCAAGCTCCATAAATCTTGCAGAAAATACCTGGGACACAGGAGGTGGACAGAGGAGTTATGTTTGCTGCTTTTGAGTTATTTCTTACATATAATAAAGGCAGAATAAAAAATATGCGTGCATCTATATTTATTTAATTAGGAAAGGTACATGGCAGCTCAACTCACGGTGACTAGGTGTTTACAGCAATAAAACTTTTCTACAGAATATATTGCAAATTGCAAAAATGCAGAACCTCGAAATAGAGGCCACAGTTGATGGCATTTTGATGGTCAGGGAATTCCTGAAAGGTGATTCTTGCTTTTGTTCAAATTAGAAGTTAAGTAGGCTTCCTGGCCTTACTGACAAGGTTGACGCCCGGTGCCATTCTTGCTTGAAATTAATAATTTTTCTCCTTCCAAGACATTAAATTGGAGGAGTTAACTGTGGGATGAGCAGCATATAAATTTGATAAAGAAATGCATTGTGCCTCAAGCAACTTGCAGATGGGCAGCTTAACAGGGCCAGCTTTGGATTCATCCCTTTTGCCTTTGATTTATTTAAATCATTTACATAACCACCTATGTTATAAAAAAACTTCGGCTAGCTCCCTGTCAAAAATTAACAAAAACTATCCTATTAAAACAAAACATGTAAAAACCCTGGTGCCAAATCCAGCTTCTGATGTGCAGTTGCCACTTCCTATCCCAGTGCTTGGCGGGGAAAGTTAGGTTTTTGATGAGGTTTACAGAACACTAAAGGACTGTCCAACCAGGGAGAAGAGGGTTTGTAGAGAGGGGCTGCAATGGAAAAGGCAGCCTTCTCAGCTGCCATCAAATGACAATATTTAGGAGAAGGGACTAGAAGTACGCCTGCCATATCTGACCTGTTAGGACGTTGAGATGGAAAAGTAAGGAAGGTAGGTAGGTAGATAGATAGACAGAGATAGAGATGGATTAGATAGATATATAGATATAGATATGGATAGATTAGATATGGATAGATTTAGATTAGATATGGATATATTAGATATAGATATGGATAGATTAGATAGATATGGATAGATTAGATATAGATTTGGATAGATTGGATATGGATAGATTAGATAGATATAGATTTAGATTAGATACAGATATGCATATATTAGATATGGATAGATTAGATAGATATAGATATGGATAGATAGATATAGATATGGATAGATTAGATATAGATTTAGATCAGAGATATGGATATGGATATATTAGATATAGATATGGATAGATTAGATAGATATAGATTTAGATAGATTAGATAGATATAGATATGGATAGACTAGATAGATATAGATATGGATAGATGGGTAGGTAGGTAGGTAGATAGATAGATAAGAGGGGGGGGAGAGAGTTTTAAATGTGATGAGCAGCACTTTGAATTGTTCCTGGGGGAAAAACAAATCCAGTGCAACTTGCACAACAAAAAATGTTACATGGGCAACCTAGGGGCCCTCATTACTGTGTGTGTTGCTGTGCTCTGGACCAGTTGAAGTTTCTGAGTGGTCTAGGCAGCCCCATGGAGAGTCCATTGCAGTGATCCAAACCAAGGCATGAGTGACCCTCTGTGCAAGGCCTCCTGCTCCAAGAAAGGGGACAAATGGTGCACCAGATGAATCTTTGCAAAGCCCCCCCACTTCCCAAACAGGAGTCAGGAGCCCAGGAGGATCCCCAGGTTGTGCACCAGGGAAGTACCATTCTGCCCAAAGATGAAATGTCATCTACCCTGGGGGTGGAGGAGGAAGGAAGGCAAAAACACATGAACATTTTGCCAGGGTTGAAATGAAGCTGAAGCCCTCAGTCACTTAGGAAACATTACCAGAGCATCAGCTCTGTCTGGGTGAAGATGCATAATGGGGCATCACAGGATGTATGGGCTCCCCTGGGAGTTTTATGTAGATGTTAAAAAGGGGCAGCGGACGGCTTGGGCCAGAGGGCGCCCCATATTAGAGGGACCTAGGACTCAGCCACTCCTCTCCTACCCATACCAACCGGAACCGGCCATGGAGGTAGAAGATCCACCATAACCCTTGATTGGGGTTATAAAAAGTGATACTAAATGACTACATCGCTTCCTGTCAGTTCCAGTTGCCATCACAACTCCAGGATCACTTGGGTCATTAAGTGAAGACTTCATTTGTCTGTAATGAGGGAAGAGATAGGCATCCCAGGCAAGCGGACCAGCAGGTGAGAGCTGTGGGTGAGAGCTACAGATGGGTGGGCTCCAGGCTTCCTCCTTTCTGGGCTGGGGGAGGAACAGGCCCAAATATCCCCAGCAGACTTTCTGCCCAGGATTCCCACTCACTGTCTCCTGAGTTCCCAGCCTGGAGCATTAATCCCTACACCAAAATAGCTCTCGCATAAGATCTATTGCAATTCCCTATTCTATACTTTCCTTATTCTATACTTTCAAAAGGCTTGTATCGCTATATCTCCTTCTATTCCTAACTTCTGCATTTCTCTAATCCTAATTTCCATATGTCCTAGTGCTGCTCTCTCCCTCCGTTCCACTCCACTCCATTCCATTCCATTCCGTCCCGTCCCATCTATCTATCTATCTATCTATCTATCTATCTATCTATCTATCTATC